TTGCTTTCCTCCTTAGCTTCGTGTGGCAAACCATGGAAAAACTTGTCTGGTCTAATTTTCTACACAAAGCTGAGTAGGCATAGTTTCGTACACGAAAGCTAATTGGTTGGCTCGCCCAGTGCAGTGCACATGGTTTTGCTGTTTCAGGTACACGAACGCTAATTGGTTTGCTCGCCCAGTGCACATGGGTTTAGTTTGTCTGAACAGGCCCAGACAAAGCCACAGCTCTGTTGTTTAGAATAGGCATGAAGGGGAATTCCCAAGCTTTGTCGTATAGGTAATCTTACAATATTTTCATGTTCTTTAGTTAAATAAAAGACATAAAGTGATGAATTAATACACTTGACACATGGTTTTATTTGAACCCTTTATTATGACATCGTAAAGTGATGAATAAAAACACTAAACACATGGTTTTATTCGTAGGCCTAGAGGCTAGGTCTAGCCTAACTAGGTAACATTGTTCGTTCATACATACATATATTGAGCGTTATGTACGTATTAGGTCAAAGGTTACCACAAATTTAACCCAACCTCTATTTTACGAATCCCCCGATTTACGTACGCCCTCCGGTCCTGTATCGTACGTAAAATCGAGGTTCTACTGTATTCTTTCTTTAGGCACACAACACATATGCCAAGGATTGCCAATAGCGAATATATATCACTGTCCTACTTGTAGGTGACAATGCCTTACACAAGACAAACATACACACACGATGCTTTACACAAACTAAATCTCAATATGACATTTAGGGAGTGGAGTTGTTTATGTTGTGAGAAAAAATCCTGCAACTGGCAGGAATTGAACCCAGGACCCTGGGATTGGAAGGCAAGCATCTTAACCACCAAGCTATTCAACTCCACTCTCACCCATTGCCTAACAACATCACTGCTGACTTATTTTAACTTGTTTAATAGTTTAATTTTATTTTTCTCCAGCAATTCCTGAACCTTATTTAATAGCTGGAACTGAGCAAGGTATCCAGAGGGTAGGGATGGAAGGCAGTGTACAACAGCCAATCAACACAACAGCAGTAAATGTTGAAGGTGAGTAACTACAGGGGCGTAGACTGGATTCCGCTCGGGTTAGGGGGAGGTGCGAAATAAGAAAATGTGAATCTAAATCCTAGAATACAGAACTACTTCCCATTCCAATGAAAACTTCATGGTCATTTTTAATATTTTACAGAAATAAGAGGTTCAACAGTAGGTTTGATTAGACATTTTATTACTATTAATTTTGTGCTACACATACATGGTGCAACACTCTTTAGATAGAATTGCCTAATATTAGGCAATTTTATCTGAAGAGTGAAGTCAATGTTGCACCAGGTATGTGTAGCACGAAACTAAATAGTAATAAAATGTCTAATCAAACCTACTGTTGAATCTCTTATTTTTGTTTTTATTCGCTCTGTTTTAATTACCATTGAGCTCGCTGCAGATGGTATTTGCAATTCGTTCAACCGTTTTACTTTTATATATAATATGCATGCATACATACATACAGTACATACGTACACACATACATACACACATACGCACATACATACATACATATGTTGATACATTGATATTATGTTAAATGTATTGTTTTTCATGTAATTATATAGATATTGATTGGTATGGAGACATAGTGATCTGGAGTGATTCTAATGAGGTCAGTTGGACCAGTATTAGCAATCCAGGCTCAACAACCAAGATCAACGGTATATCAAAAGCCAATGAAATTGCAGTGGACTGGCTGGGGGGTCAGTTGTATTGGGCTGAGGATCAAGAAGTAAGTTCATGGATTTTTGCAAGTATCAACAGTTGAACCTCTTATTTTTGTTTTTATTCGCTCTGTTTTAATTACCATTGAGCTCGCTGCTGATGGTATTTGCAATTCGTTCAACCGTTTTACTTTTATATATATTATGCATGCATACATACATACAGTATGGCCTCCTTCCACACACTTATTCTGTAATGTACTATTATTCTTAGTTGGTTTTACTATTAAGCTTTTGTTATGTATGTTAATATGTTCATGTGTGTGGAGAAATAAATTAAACAAACAAAACAAACAGTACATGCGTACACACATACATACACACATACGCACATACATACATACATACATACATACATACATACATACATACATACATACGTTGATACATTGATATTATGTTAAATGTATTGTTTTTCATGTAATTATATAGATATTGATTGGTATGGAGACATAGTGATCTGGAGTGATTCTAATGAGGTCAGTTGGACCAGTATTAGCAATCCAGGCTCAACAACCAAGATCAACGGTATATCAAAAGCCAATGAAATTGCAGTGGACTGGCTGGGGGGTCAGTTGTATTGGGCTGAGGATCAAGAAGTAAGTTCATGGATCTTTGCAAGTATCAACATTTTGACAAGGGTAGGGTGTGAGATGAGAAATTACCGGTATATGCCGGGGTGGATCAAGAGTCTGAAACAGGGGTTGAAAAAGGGGAAGAAAGGGGGAGCTGATCGAGAAACAGCACAACACTAGGGGTCCCGGGGGCATGTCCCACAAAATTTTTCTTTCTCTTTTTTTTTTCTTTTTTGTACTTTGCAAAAGTAGGGGTGGGGGTCTCTGGGGATGGCTTGCCACCCCCCTAAATCTACCTTTAACATGCTGTCAATTAAACAAATTTTAATGACATTTACATGTGAAAATATTAAAATGCTTTAATTTTTTTTTTGTAATTATTCTATATTTTTTTCTGACAGATCAAAAGAGCTCAGTGGTCAACAAGTGACTCGTCTGCTGTTAAGCCAGAGTTGGTAATTGAGTCTGTAGCATTAGACATTGCCGTTGATTCGATAAGAGCTTATATATACTGGATATCTGTACCTCTATATTATAACAGTGATCCTAGGCCCTCTGGTGTTGAGTGTGCCCGCTTAAACAATGATCTTGGAAGCAGGGTCACTATCTATGAGACAGAGGAGTTTGTGGAGGAACAGGTGGTTAGCCTAACATTGGACTTGGATGGGGGATTTGTGTACTGGCTCGTTAGGTCAGGCCATCTGAGAGTTTACAAGTCAGTGCTTGCAGATAATAAGTAAGAATATAGTTTGTTTAGTTTCTCCCTTCAAACTATATTCATAAAATATGAAAACAGTAGTAGTTACAAATATTTAGTTCAGTAGAGAACATATCAGTAGGTTGTG